AGTCTAAGCAGACAGTGCTGGCAGGTCTGAGAAGTGGTATGAGCACATCACCTGGGGCTGGGGGGAAAAAAATCCAAGTCCTGTGTTTCAGTCCAGTTTCTCTGAAAGCAAGTTCAGCTATAACAAAGAAATGGTGGAAACATCCAGCTAAGGAAAACAATTTCTTCTGTCTTGAGGTTCTAAAATTACTTACCTTATTTACATCCCATTTTCTTCTGTGCTTAAATTCACTCCCAATGGGAGGACATTTTCAGTGGCTTTGTGTACCAGCACGTAGGCTTTCACTAAGGTCCAGGTCACCAGCATCTGCCTGAAAAGGAATACAACAAGAGACATTATCCAATGAGTTTTTAATTGCATTGGTAAGGTTTCTAAGTGAAGGAAACAGCTAGAGGGCTCTTTTCTGTGTAAACAAAGAAGAGGAGATCATTGAAGTTGTCCAGAGAGGGTAACCTTGGTGAGAGCAGTCTAAGATATGTTATTGTATCTAGTTTCTATGATAGGAATGAAAAATAACAACATAATAGAAGCATTAAAAAGAAAAAAAGAAAAAAAGAAAATCATATCCAAGTGCATATTTACCTCATTGTGAAGTAAAGATTGTAAGAGTTAGCAAGAGAATAAACCCAAGTACGATTATGAAGTCCACGGGAAGTAGAAGCTGTATCAGATTGCTAAGGTCAAGATAGAATTGTAGCATAGACACTTAGGAATACTGTGAGAAAGACCAAGGCACAGAATGAAATGGATCTAATAAGAAATCAGAAGTAACAAGAAATGTTTTTAAGCATATTTTTCAACAATTCATTGTGAAAATAGAAAGGCTTATTAATTAGTATCATATTCTTGTACTATTCAGTACCCTTAGCAATTTAAATAATAGAAAGACTTTTCAAATTCCTTCCAAGACCATGATCCAGTGTAGTGATTTATGAGTGGGCACGCTTTTAATATACTTACATGAAATTTTGAAGTGTTTGCAGTTCACATCACCTTCTAGGCTTTCAAAGTGTTGATTTTACTTTTCAAAGAAAACTGCCTCATTGAGATGTGCACTGAAGAGTAAAAAAAGAAACAAAAGATGCTGAAAGAAAAAGTGCAAATGAGACCATCTCATCTTGGTTTTCTTCTCTAATGATATTTAGAAAAAAATACTTATTTTCTTGAGGATGCCCTGACTCCAAAGACATAGACATCCACATACATGCTTAGTTGGGATCAGATACTTTTAAAAGCACTGCTGTGCTTGGATCTTGGCTGTATATGCTCTGGCAGCCTTTCTAGCAAGCCCGTATAGTCTGTGGTAGCTTTAACCAGCATTTTACAGCTTGTTTCTCAAAATCCCAGGAGAATCAGGGCTCCTTATCAGCAGAGGGAGAGGGCAGCTGCTGGAATCTTTCAGACTGGTGCGCCTCAAGGAAGTCATGTGGTAGAAATTTGTGTTTCCTGGTGATCAATGCAGGTTCAACTCCGAGTGTCTGGCAGTGACTTGAATGTTATCTTGTTGCTTAATAGTCAGAAGAGGATGGTTGAGACTGTGCCTGTAAGACAGCCGTGCTGCAGTTGTCCTCTGCTCTGAAATGCTCTTGCAGAGCAGTGGGAGACAAACAAATGAGCAACGCATTTCTTGGCAGAACTGCAAACTTTGAATGTTGGGAGTAGGATAAGAAGGAATGTTGTGGTGACATGTTATAAACAAATCGGCAACCATATTTGTCTCAGCCTTGGAAGAACAGGCCTTAGTGTGACTGGAGGGTATTTTTGGGATGTCTACTTGCAAGCCTGAATTCTATCCAACAGGCAGCTGGAAGTGCCCTAGAATCCAGAAGAAGATCAAATTACCCTACACAGATCAGAAGCTCTTACTTTGTTTCTAGAAATATGAGGTATGGATGTATTTTAGATATATCCATTTATATCTTATACATAAAGGCTAATGTGAGCTGTGATTGATATATTTACCTGTGAGTAACTGTTTATAAATGAAGTGTTCATGTCCAGATGCTACTCATTCTTGCCATAACTTGATACAATATTACTGTAGGGTTAGATTCCTCTGAATTCTTTAATGTTTCACTCCTCACTATACAGTAAAGTGTATAATGTAAATGCACCTAATTTCAATGGCATCAGCCCCTGCCAGCATGGATGACAGTCTCAGTTTAACAAGAAGAAAATCTTTCAAACACATGCCTTACAAAGATGGCTCTTCAGAAAAGCATTGTAAAAAATGCTGACAAGCTAATAATAATGTTATAATAATTTTATAATATAATAATGGTCTAATAATTTTTCTAATTAATTCCTGAGTAAGGTACTGAGATAAATCAGTTCAGGCTTTGTATAAGAGAAACAGTTTTGAAGCTATTAAAAAACTTTACCATTTTGAAAGTCAATAATCAAGATGACTAAAATACATAAGAGACAGAAAATTAAGTATCTACATTTTGACTTTGAGAGGTGGCATTTAGTCTTAGGACTTGAAGCAAATTCAGAATCTCAGAGGACTTTCAATGCATGCCAGCATTCCTGTAGCATCGTGAAGTAAGGGAATTATTTTGCTAACTCATAAGCTAGTTTCAAACATTCAGAGCCCTTTTCCATAGTCCTTTGTAAGCAGTCTTGTGCTGAGAGCAACCTTTTTTACGTCTTTTTCTTTTTTTTTTTTTTTTTTTAATTTTTTTTCGTAATGCTGGTTTCCAGTTAAGCTAGTTCTTCCTTTCAAAGGTGGCTTAACCTGACATCCATGAGAAATATCTGGAGTAAATCAAAGATCCATTTTCATGCAAGGAGGCTCAAACAACTTGGAAGTTCAGCTATGCTACTACATTCAAGTTACATGACCCAGGCCATATAAAAGACAAGTCAAACTTAAAAAGCAATGAGCATTCATTCAGGGCACCATGGCAAGGTTTGCAAGCTGAGCCATGGCATTATTCCAATTTAGTTATGTTAATTTGCATTCTTAAATAAGGATACTTTCCACTGGCTTTGGAGACTGCACGATTTTCAGCTGCATGGTGTCAACATGCCCAGTGTCAGAGGAGACTTCTGTCAATAATTTATTCATTATACAGAATCTTTTCCTAGTGTAAACATATTTAGTTAAAAGACTGTTTCCATCTGTTCAGCTTTTCGTTGTCTCGTGGGTCCAGGAGACTTTTAGAAAGTGTACTCAGGGGCTAAACTTCTGAATTGCCTCTTGAATTCCCTACAACTCAGCATTATCAGTGGAGCAGCTATAAACTAGCAGGACAGCTGACTTTCAGTCTTCTGAAACATTCAAATTTCACCTTGAAAGAATTTCCTGGGTGTGGTACTCCAGTGTCATAGCAGAGGAACTTAATAAATAGAAGAACTTAATAGACTCTAGATGTCTCCTTGCTTAATTTTTTCTGCACACGTCTTCACAGGAAACATATCAAAGTCTTTTTTACTCCCACAATGTACACTTACATTTAGCACATGCAGGCCTAAATCTTTTGAAAATAAATATTCTGAAAAGCTCTAACCTTGGGGCTTTTGATAGGTATCCTGTTCCTGTGAAGCATGAAGGAGCTACATAAGTAATAGGGAAGTTCAAGAAAAACAAAATTCTTTCTCTGGTGCACACATTATATGGGCAGAGATGAATCCTCTATTGTTGGAAGTGAGCATAGCTCTGTAAAGATTCAGGTGTGTTTGTAAAGCAACAAAGCGAGCCAAGGAGGGACCTGTTGCACAGTCTGGTGGCTGCAGTGCTTCAGACTGGTATTCAGGAGATGGCTGTGTAAAACAGCAGTGGGGAAGAAGGTATTCACAGTTCCCCAGAAAAACCTGCTATTTCTCAAAAATATTTTCCTCTTCCATGCAGTGAGAACTCTGTCCCTGGGCAGTGATGGTGGTTGCCAGGAGGCAGCAGGATAGTTGGAACAAACTTCTTCAGAGTCTGGCATGAGCTCCTCAGAATTATTTTCTGTGCCATGCAGAAGCGTATAACCGCTTATCAATTCTTCCTCTTGACTTCACTGTCCACTGTTCTACTAGTAATTAATCTTGCAGTCTGGATGTTGTATGGACCATGCTGTTTTCCTACCTGCTTTGGGGTTGGTGTATTCAAAGCCCTGGAGTTAGGATTTTGTGATTCAAAACTCCTGATTCATTACTGAGGGCTCCATTGTGTCTATAGAGGATAGTTTTGTATCACACTTACACAAGAATCAAGGTCCTACTGGGTTTCTTTAAAAAAACTGACAATTTTTTGAAATTCCAATTGTTTCTGAAAATTACCAAATAACAAATGTGTGTTCTATATTCTAGACAGCAGAATTGTCTGTAGTTGTGTTACAGGCTTGCTTTTCACTGATGAGCAGAAGTTTGTACCTCTTCAGCTTGAGGAAGTACACTGATAATATTTCAGAGAACCCATTGTTATGACCCTCTTTGGGCTAATTTTGCATAGCACTGTGTGAACGTAACAGCTTTCTAGAGAAACAAAACACCACTTTGCCACATTTGGTCTCTGAGGTAGAACTCCAAACATGCTTTGCAGTCCTATTTCTGTTTTTTCAGCACACACGTGGCTTTTGGTACAAACCACTGTTTGTAATGAGCTCCCCAGAGATTTCTTGCACCCTTGAGCTCTTCAGTAATGCCCTATGGACTTTGTGCTTTTCTGTTGCTGATATTTCTCTTAATCTTTGAGTTCTTCACAGCTGGGAGCAGAGTTGGGAACTGTCTGGACAGCCCAGCAAATTGCTAGGGAAAGGGAAAGTCAATGAGCTTAAATCCTTGCTGTGCAGACTTGGTGTTTGGTGTCAGAACATTGCGTCCTTTCACTGTACACAGAGATACACAATCCTTTTGCCTGCAGTGTGTAGACCACTACATAGCTGCAAATGCATGATGTTTCTGTCTTCACTTTCCTCCTAGCAGAATGTTGTATGTTATATCAACGGCAAAATGTGAAGGCAGGAGATGATGCTACTAAAACACATATCCTCCTTTGTTTTTCTTTCTAGAACTATGCAGCAAGTGATTTCACTAATTGCAAGGAGGAAGACAGCAAGACTTATGAGCTTATGTTAGGCTCAGAAGCTCCACCAGCCGTGGGTAAGTCATGTTGTTAGACAGCTCTGTTGGTACTGCTCAAATGAATGCATCATGTGATGCATCAAATGAATGAATTTCTGGGCAGAGAGGGCAAGTTACTCTGACACTTTAAATTTCCACATGTTACTGCAACTTCCAGGGAGGGCAGGTGTCCTAAATGGAGAAGGCACTTGAGGAATTCAGTTGGGATAATAAAGTTCTTGCTCATTAAGAGAGACCTCAGTGCAACCATCCCTCCTTTTAAACTCTGGAAACTTGTGATCGCCTCTCTGAACCTACAAAACTGCTGAATTCTCCAAGCTTTCAGAGAAGAACCTTCATAAAATGGGATGCACTGCCTACAGGTGCAGTCAAGTTCTGTGTGGAGGCACAGATAGTTGACATTTTACATCTTGATATTCCTACTTCCAAGCATAGATTGGTGACAAGCCTGTTGATGATCTGTGTGGTCATATGCATTCCCCTAGAAAACTGCAAAGTTGCTTGTTTGCATTTACCAATGGTATTATATCTTTGCATATATCTTACAGTATCATAGATCTATGAGACTAAATTTAATCCTCTTTTTATCTTGTTGACAATTTTATTTTTTCAACTGTCTCATACATATGAAAAGGACATTTCTTACTTGCAAAGTTCAAACTGGTTGCTTTAGCACATAGAGGTAGATTATAGACACTGTAAAAACATGTTTGCTCTGATAAGATTTTCACTGTCTCTGTCACATTGTATATGAGAACACCTCAGGGTGAACACCTGGAAAAAGAGCATGACTTGTACCACATTAGGCAGGTAATGCCTCAACCTCCCATTTGAATCAGTGGTGAAAGGCAGGCTTCACCAAAGGATAACTCAGAATGGAAACCTACCTCAAGGGCTCAATAAGGTCTGCTGGCAGATTGTGTAGTTTACTCTGTTACCTTATTGAGGCTGACTATTAAAGTTTTGAAGCTGTACATAGTGATTAAAATGTACACTTTACTTTGGTTTTGGTCTGTGGGTCACTAGAGACAGAAGAGCTCTGTTTCCACAAGTCTACAGTCATGTCTCCCTTGGACAATATCTATTTCATTTTAGAGAGATTCAAATCAGCACCCAAATCTCATTGTACAAAAAGCAGTACCACAGATGTGTGAGCTAAGGCTTTATTTTGCAAAGTGTTGTACTGTGCTGCTTTGAAAGTCAGGTAGCAGAAATTCTGGAGACAGGAAAGGTGTGTGTGATTTCATTCTGACAGCCGCTCTAGAAAAGTTTAACATTGCACACACGAAGATGGTGTGTATCAGAGTAGCAAGATAAATCTTCCCCTGTTGATTTAGTAAATATTTAAAAAGCTCTTCACTGATGGTGTGAATTTGACAGCTTTCCTGCTGTATCAGTTCATAAAAGTTTTATTAGCCATTGTATTCCTTCTGTAGGAATCCTTGAAATGAGAAATGCAGTTTTTAAATGAAATAACGCTTTCTTTAATATTAAAAGCCAAGCAGAACTCAAGAGATCAATATGCAATTGGATTGAGATGCCAACAAGAAGAAGTTGAGGTGGATGAGGAAAAGAAGGATGACCTAAAAGACAGCAGAGAGGAGACAGAATATGAAAATGAAGAAGAGGAGGATTCATACAGCCTTCACAACAGTCCTCGCAGGTTGTATGCCAACGTAGGGGATGAGCTCAAAGAGAGCAGGAGAGATTGCTTTTTCTGCAAGAGGCCACCCCCTCCTCCCCCTCGAAATCTGCCTGGCATCCAAAGACAGGACAATCTGCATAATTCATCACAAGGTACGATCTTGGGAGGAAAATAACCCTGGATACAAACACGTGTAAGGGCAGACAATGTACTGCTGTAGAGATTGGTTTGGTCAGTTCTAGAAGTAGCTGGGCAGAATGGCCCTGGTGCTACAAAGCAAGCTTGTGCATATGAGGCCATAATTCTGCAAAAAAAGCATCTGCATGTCATCTTTGCTGCATCAAAATATTCATGACCAGGTTTGGCAGTTAATACTGTGAAAAAAAGCTGGGTTCAGCTTTTCCTCACTCTACCTATCTCAAAGAGCTTCCAAAGAGTGCATGGTGTACTGGATTTACAAGAGAGTCTTGAAACAAAGATGAAACCTGTATTTTGGTAAAGTCGATTTCATTTTTTTACCATTTAAAAACATGAAACGCTATCATGATTTAATATACAAATATTTAATTATATTATATTTAATATACAACTTGAAGTTTCACAGGTAGACTTAATAGAAAGTGACCATGCAGAGAGAAGTAACAGCATCTTACTGCATTTTAGCCAGTGTTACAGTTATATAGAAGTAAAAAATTGTATTGCAAATTGAAAAGAAAGGCAAAAATTCTGACAAATGCTTTGCCTGTTTTTCCCTTTTTTTAATACATCTGCCTCAGAGTAAAAATCTCAAATTTTGTGTTGTGGTTTGATTAAAGTGATTAGAAACTCAAAGTACTATTGCATCTGTTTCAGAAGGGATGATCATCAATTTTTCTCATTAGGAAAAACAAGTATGCAAAATAATTCAAGCTTAAATACCAGTTTTGAATAGTTGTATAGAGGAAAAAAAAATTCTTCTTATTTGTTATAGACACTGCTGATAAGTGTACACACAAATTGCATTTCAGTTTCTCCACAGCTTATTACTGTTAACTGTGTTTTCAAACTTGGTGTAACCTATTAGAGTCTTAAATTGCCATCACCAAGCACTCTGATGTTCACATAATTAGGCAGAAATAGCTTGCTATAGGTGGGGATTTATCCTGTGTTCTGCTGTGCAGGAAAGAAATGGCTGTAGATAGAAAGTCATAAGTGAATTATAAGAGAAAGAGGAGCAGCATAATATTAACATTAAAGGTGTGTGTTGCTTCCCACAAAACACTCAACTGCATCTATATGTGTGTGTAAATGAGGGATCAGTTTTGGCACGCGGGATATGTTGGTGTAGGTTTGTTATAAATGCCTATTTTGGAATCGTTCCTATACGGCAACATCACCACAGTAACGTGACCCTCTCTGCCAGTTCTCTCTGTCTGCATGTGGGTACCAGCAGAGAAAGTTTCCTGGTGTCCTGTGCCACCTCCTGTGCTGGTAAAGCAGCGTTCACCTCTGAATGCTCCTGTGGGAATAGTTCATTTAAAACCTGCTCTGAATTATTGTGTTTAGCTGTGGTTTCATCACTGGCGAACAGGGTATCAGAATTCCTCTAGATGAGGACGATGCTTCCTGTCAAAGAGGAGCTGTAATGAGGTACTGCTACATATATTCAGCCAGCTGCTTGCTTTAGGAGCTGCTGTGGAGTACCTCGAAGGCAAGTCCCCTCTACTTCAAGTCTGTGTTTTGGCAGTGGCTTGAGAGTACCCCCTGTGGGAGTTGAAATAAAGAACGGGTTACAGAGAAAGAAACAGAGCTTATATAGTGACCTGGAAACAAAATATTGCTCATGGCAGGTGTATAAACTCCACTTGTAGTTTCAAAACATATATCTTAGCCAGAATATGTGTTAATAGTACATACTATTATTATTAATACATCCCATTAACAATGTATCCCACCTATAAAGGTTGTTTAGCTCCTCTGAACCCATAAACAGGTAATTCTTTAAATAGCAGCCAAAGGATTGAAAACACCATTAGTGACCACAGCCAAGTTTAGCAGATACACATATGTACAGGCAGTAAATTACAGCACAAGGGAAACATGAGTCAGTACAAGATTCCAGGCACCAAGTCTACTGTTTTTGCAGGAAAGATGGGTAATCATACAAAGGAAGTTATAAACATTTATAGGAACACCAGCCTCAGTGACAGCTTCAAACTCCTAGCAGTCTGTGGATGTCTTAAGGTAAATCAGAACAAACCCAGGTATCAGGGAAGCCATCAATGCCTTTTAATGCTGTAAAAGGCAACAACTAGAGAAAAGCTAGTTTTGAGTAGTTTTACTATGAAATATATGAAGTATAGGGAATACAGAGAGACATGGAAGTTTTTGGAGGGAGGAGTGTTGGATAGTCTTAGCATAGATTGTAAGAGGTCAAACATTTTACCTACATTGTAAAGGGCTTTTCAATTTCTTTTTCACCTTGGCCTACAGTAGATCTGTGAAGCCCTCAAAACCCTGTGGGATATTGAAGAGATAGAAAACACAAAATCCAACATTTTATAAATTAAGTTTCAATTCTTAAGTAATTTTTGTAACAGGTAACAAACAGCTTGACTTTCCAGAATGCCAAGGGCCACAGGGTACCACTTACTTGGCTTAACCATGAATTACAGGTTAGTCAGAGCTAGTTACATGTTGGCATAACTCTTATGAGAGCAACTGGGGCACTCAGTGTTTCTGCAAATATATCCATTTATTTTGTGGCTAATAGCTAAGCATCTACCTTTGATAACCTGATGTAAAATCACAAGGAGGCCCTGAAGTTCGAATTATTTCTTTGGGACATCCTCTCTACTGAGTTAGATGATCAGAAAATGAGCGTGTTTTAGTTTAGAAGTGAAATGAGGTCTCTGAGCTACTTTAGGAAACTGTAAAGCTTTAAGATAAATCACAATCTCCTCTCTTTACCCTGTATATGCAACACAATTCCTTCCTTTTTCAGAGAGGATTTTTGTGGAGGACAGGAGTAAAAGAGAGCAGGGTGATGGACTCACAACCGCATGCTGCGGAGAAGAGCAGGGTTCCTGTGAGGAGGACAGCGAGGAGGAGCACCCCTACACTTGTGTGGCACAGGATGAATGTGTGTACGACCTCATCCTGGGGCAGGAGGAGCACAACGAGGAGAAAAGGAAGCACTGCAGGTCCTTTATCATGAACAGGCCACCAGCCCCTGCGCCCCGGCCCATGTGCTCGCTGGTCAAGGAGGAGAACACTCCCTACATCGCACAAGGTTGGTGATGCTGCCACATAAATATTTTCTGGGAGAATGTAGACTCTTCTCTTGGTCTCTTCTCTTTGAGCAGTAACATTTTCTAAAAGACCAAGATCCCCGTTCAGCTGCTTTCAAACCAAAACATTGTTTGTTACAGTCAACCTATTCTCACCCTTCAAATGAGCTGAGAACATCTCTGAATAATTTTCAGTTTGCATCAGAGTAAGTATCACAGTTTTTATTTAGCTTTTCAAAAACTATGACAATATGATAGAAAATGAAGAATAGCTGGTCTAGCTGTGAGTGTGTATGTTACAGCAATGGAATGTAGAATGTGCTATTTGAATTTAGCTTTCTTTCCAGCTTCTTTATCAAAATGGTTTTACTTTTACTCTGAAATAGCTCTCTTAGATTTTTTTTTTTTTTTTCGGATGAGAAGAATTCTCTTTTCTGGGAGAAATGCCTGTGTGAGGATTCCTCTTTGAAATACCTTTTCTCCAATTTGAATTGCTAGGAATGGGCATTTCTAGGTAGGATCATTATATTTCTTGAGGGGAAAATTATGTCTTTTTACCACTTCTATGAAAACTGGGAAACTTTTTTTAGCCATTTCATGGAAATACAAGATCAGAAAGGATTTCAGATATCTTTGTAATCCAATTCAGACTGAAACCAAATTTGAAAGTAACAAAAGGAATTCAGTGGATATACTGCAGAGATCTCTTTGTAAGTCCCAAAATCCTTCCTGTCTGCATCTCCAGCCTCTTCAACAAAAGGCCTGCCAATGCATAAGAATAGGTGGTAAAGAACAGGCTGTCAAAGGACACCATTAATTTCCTTACTTCATGCTGCGCATGTTTTACACTAGAACAGAATTTATACTGCCCAAAACATCCTACCAAATACAGAGTAGCACCTCCTCTTTCATGCCAATCTCAGTGGATTCTTTTATTCTTCCTAGCTAGCTCTCTTCCTCCAGGCTGTCTAACTCCAGGCAAGAGTCAGAATGCATGGGCTAATGCATTCATCATTTAGTTGCTCTTTCTTCAGGATATTCAGGAGGTATAAGTATAAATCATTACAGTGTAATCCAAGAATGGATGGGCATGGGGGCCTGTTACAGCTACAGAAGTCATGACATGGCTGCTTTTACTGAGGTTGCTAGAGCAGTGTCTCAAATTTTGGTCCACCATCTTCATAGGCCACTGACTTGGAAACCCTTAGTGGAGATGCTTTATTTGGGAGATTGCTTTTACTGTCGTTTGTTGTACTGGAGCACTTCTGCTTTGATTATTGGCTAAGGCAGATGCTATCAGAGGAGCTGCTCTGATGGGGCTGTGGTTCCCTAAGTGTATATACATATATTCATATGTTCACATAAATAGGGTTTTTTACCTTTGCTTTCATAAGGATGTAGTGGTAGACAAATTATTTTCCAGTAGTTCTGTGATATCAGCCTCTTGCTCATGATCCTCTGCTTACACAATTCATGAAGAAAAATGGAAACACTTCAAGAAAGCTTTAACTAATCACTCAGGTCTCTATTTTCCTACCTATCCTGCTGGTTTCAGACCTAGAATATCTCATTTTTGTCCAAGGATTCCTGAGATAGATAATGAAATTTTAGGCAGAAGGGGTGTATCTTCAGCTGAAATATTTTTTTCTTGCTACTTGGATTGGCAATGTTTTTTCTCCACATCGGTTAAAAAATACTCTTTCTAGTCCAGCAACATCAGAATTTCCAATTTATTATTTTAGGACTGCTTATATTTGATTAAAAAAAAATTTAAAAAAAAAAGATTATTTCATCTGTATGAACTAGGAAACTTCATTCCAGTCCATCATTAAAACCTGCAGGTGTCTGCAGCCCTTCCTTTATCATTTAAACAGTGTAAAATACTCTAGATATGCATAAACACATTTTTTATCCAGTAAATAAATTGATTATGGCTTTGGAGTTTGTTTTCATCTATTATATTAAAAAGAGTATTGCAGATAGTGCAAAGTCAAATAATCAAAAAGTCAGAATTGAGGAAGTTTTACCCTTTCTCCCTGCCAGGAATACAGTAATAAGTAGGTAGCCATATGCAGCTATTTGTCTCAGATATTTTCTTTCATTTCATCTAGTGTTTAAGGTGGGTAAGCATAAAAAACATCAGTGTTTTTCATTCTCATTTTGATTAAAATATAATTCATGCCTGCTTTGAGGCCCCATGTATTGTTTCAGACCCTCCAGTTATAAAACCTTTGATTCTGCATCCACTGAGTTTTGGGATGCCCAGTATGAAGTAACTAAGATTCTTTAGGGGAACAAAATTAGTAACACTTTACCCATTCAAAGCAGACACACCATTGATTTCAGTGGTCACTATGAGTTCTCAGAACTTCAGATTAAATCCTTAGTACAGATCAGTACTCTGATGTCAGGTATTGCAAGTTGGATTGCTGCCTTAAATGACTTGTCTGACTTTTGGCCAGGGCTTTGTTGGAAAGAGAAGAACTGTCCTGCGGAGCAACTTCTAGTTGCTTAACTGAGCCATCCTTCCCTCCTCTGTGTTCACTTTTTATTTGCTAAATGCCTTTTAATTTCTAAAACAAATTATTTAATATCCCTGTAAGAAACAGATTGTCTTCACTGCACAGTTCTGGTTGATCTTCAGAGCTGTTCCCTTCTGGCATTCAGTAAGACACAGGTCCTGTGGAAAAACAGAACAGAATACGATGCCCAGAGAGGGGCTGTGTTAAGGCATTTGCTCACACATGGATCCCTATGTACTTTGGGAGTACATGGAAAGCTTCATGTCCAAGGATGGCAGAGGCTGGTGTGATTGTGCCATGCAGAGACACAAGAGGAGCATTTTTTCTTGTGCTTTATGTACCCATAGGTGGGCTCATTTATTTGTAGGGAGAAGTAAGCATCACATACCAGAAATGCCTTTTGCCTCCTGGATTGCATGCAGGTGACTCTTTAAATTTATTTTTGTATCCATCTGGAGAAATCAAATGGCTGAATTTCTGTGAGTGCTTTCACCACATATTGAATGAAGGCTATGACATTACAAAAGAGTATATTCTCCTTTAAGCAAAAGTGGTGGTGCTTCCATGAGAGTAGCAACCAAGAAGAAAGCAAGCAAATAGCTTTCTTTGTAATAACTAGCTTTCAAATACATGGAATATCAAGTTTACACTGGGCAGAAAGCCTGGTCCCTGTAGATTACCCCACTTGGTGTTCTGCAAAAGAGGATAGGGAACAGTTGATCTATAGAAAGCAAACATGGGATTTGACAAGAGTCACTTTCAGGGCAAGATCTACACTTTAAAACCTAGGCTGTAAACAGTCAGTGATGCAAGATGTCACAACTGAACTACCACAATTTACAGTTTGAGCATCTGCCTTAAATTTGCTGACACATAAATTCTGAGAAACATGGGGGAGTTGAAAGATTTAAAACATAAATGTTCTAATCACTTTTACTCAGTTTCATTTATTATACTTTCAAATTTTAATGAACATTCAAACTGCTGTATTGAACACTGGTAAACAGACTGCATTATTAACAGAGAGTAGATTTGTTCTTTAATTTAGTCCACTGCAAGAATTTTATCTTGTGTGTGAAAGGCTTATCAGCCAGTGGAGCTGCAAGTTGGTGCCAAGTAGCTCATTGTCCAGATGGTGTGCTCTCTTACTGTGCTCCCTTACCATTCCTCAAGTGCTAAGTATTCCTCTGAAGGTTATTTCAGTGTTTTGTTCAATTGTCTGCTGCCAAAACAACTGTTAAATAAACATTTGAAGGTGTTGTATTTCCAGTTTAGAGTGCAATTTTTAATGTTCCCTATTGATACCAAGTTTGTTTGAGCTGGAAACCAAAGTCCTGTATGTAGTTGTAGGACAGATGCATGAGTTTCTGCAATGCCCCTGCCATTTCTTGAAGCCCGACCTACTAGGACTCCTTCAGGGTTAGGGATTACATTACTGTTCTGGTTTAGTCATTTATCTCTCATCACAGACCATTAGTATGAAAGGGTTTCTCTGCAGCAAGGATACCTGCCCTACAACAGCATACATTTCCTATGCTATAGCCTTTATTTCTTTGCAAACCTCTCTCAAATCCCTGAAGGAATGTATTTCCCTTCTGTGCACTGAAAACATTTTGCTATTTAAAGATACCTGTCTGTGAGACCTCACCGTAGGTTTAAAAATTAGAAGTGGAAAAATATATTTTCCAGTTACTGTTCCAGTGGAGAATAACATTCTCATTGCTCATCAAAATCTTTCTAGTCTGGTGGATCCAGTGGATATTTTTAGGGAAGCAGAATATCTCACCAACAGGATAGACAGCATAAACCCACGGAAGTGAATAAATAAAATCTAGAACAGAATTGTTAGTGTCTTGGAAACTTATCAGGCTGATTACTGGGAAATACAATGATCACATCCTGAGCCAGTAATTCTTATTAAGCCAATTGTTTAAATGCTCTAAAGCAGGGGTTTCCAAAGTGAAGCCTCAGAGGCCATGCAAATTGCAAAACATTTATGTCCCACAGAGAGATTCTGTAGTACTCTCCTACAGTGAGTATAAAGTACTGCACTGCAGATGAATTTTATTATGTAGTCCTAACTTAAGGGTGTTTTTCCATGAATGAAATACTAGGGAACACTGTTTGGCTGGCAGTTAGACTGTTTTTACAGACCTGGTTGGGAGTGATATACCAGCTTCACCCTGGTCTTCATTCAATCAGATTTTATGCTATCTGAACTTTGGTAGATTGAAACAAGTACTAAATAAGGTGCAGAGAGAGAAAAATATTTATGAGATGCTGTCTGGCTGCAAACCAAACTGTTCCAAATACCGTATTTGTAGTAAAAACATGTATAGTCCTTCCCTTTTTGCTTTTCTCTGCTCAAGAAAAATGGGACTAAAGAAGTATATTCAAGTTTTACACCCTGGAGCAAACACTCCTTGAGTATGTCACTGAAGTCCTTCCAGCTTCCATGATGCACTAAGTCAAAATTCTGACAAGAGCCGAGATGTGAGAGCTGTTTTCATTGTGTGTGGTAATGTAGTACACAGTACATTGACACCACCTTCTGAGCAGCACCTTGAACTAACCACTGGTGCCTCTCACTCACTCACTCACTCACTCACTCACTCTCTCTTTACTCATTCGGTAAGAAGAGGGTTCTGGTATTATTTTTATTATCTTGCTTCAGTGTAGGGAAGTCATCTTTGTAGAGTCTTCTGAGGTCCCTCTGTGATCAAAGTTGCTGGGATTCTAACAGATTTGAGCTCATATTTGTCAAACTCAGAATCTCACTGCAAATTGTGAAGGGAATTGCTGATGAGCCTATGTTTATTTTTGGACTAATATTTTAACATTGTCATTACGCCATAATTCCTTGTAAAATCATTTTGCTTTTGGTCTGACAAAATGGAGTGGTTCATTCTCAGCCAGCTAAATAGCTGTGGAAGGTGGAATAGGGATCCACTCATCCCAGCTTAGGCTGGCAATAGTCTAAGTTGGGACTATGAGTGGACGTGATGCTGTCAGTCAAAAGCCCTGGCAATGTAAAGGGAGCAAGGTGGCAGGTTGGTATTTCTGCAGGTGCACTTGGTATCACCTAGTCTTTATTCTGGTGAAAATGACTGTTGTGTGTTCTCAAAAACATCTTGAGTGTCGGGCTGCCCATTTAGGTCTGATCAGAATTCCTGTATCAGTGTAGATGTGCTCATTCATTTTCCTGCACTGATGCACTTAAGACTGCTCAGTCTTTTTCCCTTCGCATCGTCATGGTGTAGGTGTACCCAGACACCAATGTTGCCCTCACAGGACAGCTGCTGAGACTTGAGCCTTTGTTACTTGCACCATAATACCTGGATCTACCTAGATCAGATTCATGAGCCATGATGATATGCTTTTAATCCATGCCCAGCTGCCTTGCCTTATGAAAAGAAAAAAATCTGTTTACAAGATCCCATTTTCTTAGTTGATTTCATGTTATGAGTCACTGGAATTTTTTTTTGTTTTCATTTTGAATATGTGAAATATTTTGTATAAATTTTGGGAGTGGTCATTAATCATCTCTTACAAAACTTACTGGTTAGCATTGCATTGATGACCTCTCTTGAGTCCTCATGCTGAGTGATGTTCAGTGTGTTAGCAAACAAAACAGACAAAAAGAAAATAGATCTAAAAAGATGTGAACAAACATCTGCAGAGTTCTCCTCTCCTGAATAATAAGCATCATTCTACTATATACCTTCCTTAGTATTCTCTGTCATTTGTCATCTCTTGCTGTGCTACATCTAATTTACAATCCAATCTCTACCAGAAAAAAAGAACTTAGAGGTTTTATTTGCCTAGGTGCTATGTGTACACAGTTTAAATATTAAAATTTTTTAATAATATGGAAAAAATTGAATGGACAAAGGCAGGAGTCTCTCCCTGCAAAATATCCTAAACAGCAATTCACCCCTCCTTCTCCAGTCTTCCATTAATCATGAATTAATTACATGATGATTCTAAAATTAATTAAGCAAAAACCTACTAAGAACAAGGAGGCAGCTTGCAAATCCACTGTAATTTGCAACTGAGTTGTGTTACTAAGTGCAACCCTAGTATACTAATTCATTTGAATTATCACTTAGCCATGTGTTCATTTTGTTTTCCTGTATTTAAATTTTGAATGTTTCCTAAGGAAAACAGTAATATATAATTTTGTTTGGAACATCAGCTCATTGAAGCTGATGAATAAATGCATCTTGAATTTCCTTAGCAAGCTGAATTCAAAATAGTGATATTTATTGATAATTTTTTTAATCACTGTCTTTTCTCCTTTGTGTTTGTGCTTGAAAGTGTCAAGTAAGTATGCATTAGGTATGATTAGCTCATATATTCTTTCAGAAGGTAGGTTCATCAGTCTAGCTTTGTTTGAATCACTAATGCGTAGTGGAAACTCTTGTTTCATTTTTAGAGATATGTTGCCAATTCAATAAATCAGGCAACATCCCTCATAGTTTAGATGAGTAAAGTAAAATATAAATTAGAAACCATGTCTTAGTTGATCATTGCCTCTTAGCTGATATGAGTTCTTCTCTCCCATGATCTAACTCTTCCCATGTTTTGATTTCCTGTGGTTCCTAATTATGTCGCTGACCAATTTTTGAAATGTCATAGTGCATCTGTGACTCCTTAACATTACAGCTTTGTTCTAGAAATTCAGTTAATTCTGAAAATCAAATTCCTGTCCCTTTTGTCAACCTGCAGCTATTGTAAAAACTTTCATTCTCTTTTTCTAGACCTTGTATACTCACCACAGTTACTTGCAGTTTGTTACCATAAAGTGGTTTTCTTAGTTCAGAAGTATACACAGAAGACTTAGATTTCAATTTTTTCTAACCATTGGTGGTGCTAACCATGAAAATATTAACCAAATTTCAAGCCTCATAATATTATTTATCTGCATGTCCAGACAGCCTGAAACAACATCTTTAGTTAGTCTGAGATAAAACAGGCAATTCAGAATTGGATCCCACTGATTTTCCAAGACTTACATTAGGAATTTTCCCAGAGTTCTGCATATTTACCACAAGATTTGTATTTTGTCCCACTTTTTAAATGTTGTTTTCTGGTTTCATGTTCTATTAGAAAATATTGCAGTAGTTTCATTCTCCCTGAGTTTGCTTTGCTAGAAGAATATTGAGAGTACATTACATTCCCAAAGGGATGCCTTACTGCCTGAGACATAAAAATGTATTTAGGGCTTGCAAAGAACTTCATCTGTATCCTGTAGCAGCTGAAGAGAGGAGAGGGAATGAAGTGGAATTACTTTCTAGTTCTCTCAGCCTCCTTTAATTCTGAGAAACTGCAACAGAAGTTTGTTGTAGACAAAAATTAAATGGCATGTATAGAGTCAGGACATTTAATATGTAGATTTTGACTGGTACTTTAGCCAGTCACAACATGATTAAAAATCCAAAAGTATTCTCTTTCTGATGACACCGACGTTATTGAAGGGTGCACAGTAAGTATAATAGAAGTAGTGGAACTACTGTGTTTCACTGATTATCTGTGCCAGAGAGACCCATAAAATAATAATTAAAAAATATATATATATCCTTACTTGAAGGATTGTGACATTCTGACACTTTAAAGAATTGTTATATTAATATTGCTTTACTGAAGGAATATTTGCTTTATCTTCCATTAAAAAGCAATGGAATATATCCCTGTTCAAGATTACCTGTTTCTTTTATTTCACTGCTGTGTTCAAGTAGCTCATAAGTAATTGGAATGTGGGAATGAAAGGGTGAATTCCCAGAGTTCTCCCTAAGCCTATGGCAGTTGTACGATGGAATGTTCCTGCCTTTCCAGGCATTCCAGAAACAGGCGTTTGTTTTTACTGACCTCACCCACACTGAATACTTGCTGCCAACTAAAATCATTTCAGCAAGATGCAGCACATAAAGTGGTTTTAACAATTTTACTTTTCACTGGAAGAGTAATTCCATTTCTGATTACTCCAACACTGCAAAACTCAGCAGAAATTTCAAGGCCTATCAATTAAAGTGCTTTCCAATCAGGCACATTGTTGAGTATGTCCCTTCTCCTCCTTATGCAGTAAAATTCAGGCTGCCTGCATTACCTCTGTGCTCTCATTATTTTAATTTCATCTTTAGAAGCAGAATACTATTTCAAGCAGAGAAGAAAACACTGCAAACATACTTGGTAGGATTCTTTGATAATTACAGAGAAAAGTATTTTAAAAGTTAAAATGTAACAGTGTTTGGCTGAGCTAGGGACATTAAATGAGAGTGTGCCTGCTCTGGTGCTTGAACAGAGCTCCCTTGGCCTGAGCCTTGGTCCCCAGGAAAATATTTGCTCCATAGAACTGGCACATTTGCTGCATTGCAGTGATGACAGAGGATTATTTAATTGGCAGGAATTATTCTAGATTCTAGGTTTGTTTAGCGAAAATCAGAAGCAATTCCCACCTTCTGGGTGTTACATAGCAAAAGTTTCAGTGCTGCATTTCAGGGTGTATCCAGGCTGGCTGTGCTCTGGGCACTTTACAGAAGTGGGAATGGTGGGCTGCTCTAACAGGGGGGTTGTGCTTTGCTGTTTCTAGTGCTTGAATAAAGTATACACAAATATACACATACACTTTTTTCAGCAGTGTCACTATTCTCACCTGGTACTATTGGGGTTTTTTCTGCCCGAGTTTTCCCCATAAAATACGGAAGAGGCTACAGTGATTGTACCATCTGCAGAACTCTGAGATCCTGCTGTTTCTTCTAGACACGTAATATGCTAGTGTGATAAATCCTTTTAATTTTCTTCAAAGTGTCTTGTAATGGTTTCTGTAACATCAGTAATCCTGCCATTCTGTGCAACAGAACGATTTTTCGAGTAATTAACATTAGACTGACAAGTGGGTTGAAAAATACTCTTAGACTAGAACAAAAAATGTATTCCAGCCTGCTTTTATGAGTTTCCTTCCTTCATTGAGAATGTGATGGTTTTTATTGCCATTTTTCAGCTAATTTATATTCCTAATTTTGTTGCAGTGTTTCAGCAAAAGGCCTGTCGAGTGACCAGTGACAACAGCAGGACATACTGCGAGGCCAGGAATCCTGGTACAGAATTTAATTTAGCTCTTTAACTGCTGTGATATTTTTCAGTAGAGCTAGGAGAGTTTTGCTGTGGCTTGATTTTGGGTGATTTAGCATGTGTTTTGCCACCTACAATTTATATCCTTAATGGTATTGCAACATTAAGAGATCAGATAAAAGAAAGAAAACTGAAAGTTATAGACTTGTGGGAAAGACTTATAGAGTCAGAATTACTTTACACTTTTCTGTTTCCCTTCCTGATTGTGTTAAAGTCAAGACAAGGAAGGACAGGAGGGCTTAGCTGGGAAGTAATTCCAGCCATGGAAAGACAGAAGTGGAGAGAGGAACAGTTCTCTCCTGGGTACCCCAAGATGTATGCAAAGTGGATTACTTGTGGCAGTGCAGTTGTTATTTGAGTAGTAGCACATTGCAATGTTGCTGCCATAGATTCCATTAATGGTACATTACTTGCTTGAAACGAAGATGGTACATGATGGAACAGAAAAACTGACCCGAATCGTATTGATGGTTTAAACCTTTATTCTAGCCACACTCCCCATGCAGTGAAACAGATGCAACAGCCTCATAGAGGACTCAGAGCCCCTGTTCCATGGCTGCTCACGTGTTCTGGATCAGCCATTCCAGAATCAGTATCCTGGGGAGAAGCAGTGCTACACCTCCCTGGAGCAAGCTGTGGATCTGATAATGCACATCTCCCTTCAGCTGTGCACTCTGTCATAATCTCCAGGAGCACTGGGCTGCAGTGTTTTCTTGTTGCTGCAATGTATTTAGTAATGCATTTCCTTCCTTGGAGGAAGGCAATCTTTTGAAATTTCAAGATGCTTCCTGACCAAATTTTATCCACAACCTTTGCGATATGTAATGTATGGCATTGAAGAAGAAAGGATAAAAAGGTACTCTGGATATTTTATATAGCAACCTTTTCTTTTAAAATGTCAGTACTGTAACTGTAGTGCTAGAAGGAAATTATTTTATGAACCAACACTAATGGACAATCCATGGACCAGGGCAGTAGTGATGAAGGAAATGTTTGAGATGCTGCTCTGCTGCCAAAGATGAATGCTAGAATCCTCACTGATTTGTTGCATTTCTCATTTTGTACATTTTGTTGTAGAAGCGCACAGAGGCCACACTGAGACAGTAGCTTACAGCACTGTGGTACACAGGATCCCTCCTGAACAGGAAGAACTCATTCACTTGCAGAAACAGGTGAAAGAGGGGGCAATTTCTGTGGATGAAGCCATTGACAGATTTAAACTGTGGCAGAACAAAAAGCAGAGACTACCGTCCACTCAACAGGTATGAGTTTGAAATTTGTTCCTTGATAGGAATCTTGATCAGATATTCTAAAAGCAAGTTCTTGTGTTTTTGCTCCTGCATATGAGGGCAAACGTAATAATCATTATTTATATGCAAATCAGCTCCCAAGGAGCTTGCTGGTTATGGTTCTGAATCTTCTAGATACCTGTTCCCACTATTGTTTGAGAGGTTTTTTGAGTTTGGTTTAAGTCCAGAGTTAAATATGCTGGTCTCCTAAGACTTGTGTTTTAAACTGTTGGGTGATGTGCATCTTTCATGAAACCACAAACCTTATGTCACCAAACAAACCAAATGTGCTACTGAGCAGCATCAGCTAACAAATATATCAAGCATACATTTATTCTAGCAATTACAGTATATTAACTTACACCAGGCTTTGTGCCTGACTGAAAAGCTTGAATATACTTAGTGAAATCCACAATTGTTGGCACTCTACAGCTGCTTTGTATTCAATGTATGGAGTAAATTGAGGTGCACAAAACCAGGATTTACAAAAGCCCACACACTGAGTCACTGAAAGAACTGCATCAAAGCTGCAAGTCATGGAGAGGAGGTTTGTTAATTACTTCTAAAAAGACACACGGAGGAAGAGGTTATGCCCTTGTTTTATATGAGGTCATGCATTAACAAAAATAATTTCTTGTTGTACTTTAGGTCATTTAGTAGAAAGAAGAAAAGCAAAGCTAGTCTGCTGCTTTTCAGAGTGAAAGAGCTATCAGATGCTGCCAGCAAGGAGAGTGCTCTTTGTGTTTGCATCTACTTGAAAGTCTGAGCTTTATCATCACAGTGGAACACTTAACAACAAAAGTGCAGGGTCCTGGAGCAGTCTGGGAGCCCTTTCCCAAGCTGGGCAGCAGCAGCACAGCACTAGGATGCCACCTTCAAAATCCATCTGCAGCCAAGCATGTGGATGAATTGCTGAGATTACTCTCAGTCGGGGGCATTTCTTGTGGAGGAAGATCATATCTAATCTGTACCATGATAGCATCACCAAGTTATAAGTCTTTCTACTTCTTGGTGAACTAGAAGATGCCCATATTTCAAGGAAGATTTACTTGGCCTGTTTTCAGTGCTTCAGGGAAAAAGCTACTTTGTAGTGGTGGTTTTTACCCTGCATCGCATATGTGACTTTTCTTTGGTTTTGTTTCACAGAAAAGTCTTTTCTTCTTAGTCCTCTATAAACATGATGAACTGACTTCATGCTGTCAATGAAGTTTTTGTCCTTCACTTGGATTTTTGAAGAAAAATTGCTTTTCCAAAAAAAAACCAAACAAACAGAAAAGAACACCCAAGACTGTGATCCAATGCCAGAATCATTTTAACTTACTGCTGGCAGGGATAACTCCGCAAGAGTCTTAGGTAAAAATCCTAAACTTAGCATTATAAGCATTTTTCAGTCTTTTAAAACTTCTTTCCATGAGAGAGATGCTTGGTGTTCAGAATGCTAAAGAATTCAACTCTTTATAGTGTCTTACTATTTCTACAGTAAAATTCCATTATTGATTTCTACTGCTGGTTTTATGCCTTTTTTTTTTTAACTTAAAGGAAACAGTTCATCACCTGAGAGACACCACTGTCAGAAACAGACAAGAAAATGAAAACCTGGATGGTAAGTTCTGCTTTTTCTGCCTTTAAGGACCCTGAAGCCTGGAACTGTAAGTGTTGTGCAGAGGTCTGATCCAAACCCTTTTGGACTGGGCATTGAATTTGTAATGAACATTTTCTGTATCTGACCACATTTATTTTAGCATAATCAAGCTTTCAGCAGTGTCAAGATTTCATCCCAAAGATGAACTCACTGTGAGTTAATGGGGCAGAAAATTTACCAAGTCTCTGTGGCTCAGCTTTTCTGTAGCCTATTTCCTACTGCATCATCAGAATTTGGGTAGATGGCTTCTTTAGAACAATTTGCTTGATGACTTCAATATTTTATTTGTAAATCAGCCATCAATTTTCAAATTTTTGATGAACTTTCTACTGCTACAGCAGTTTTTGTGAGTATTGTGGTCATTATTTAAAACTATACCATTAGTGATTTAAGATGCTTTTTTCCCTTCTGGGAGAAAAAAGGGATTTTTGGGGTTGCCCTGTGCAGGGCCAGGAGCCAGACTCTATGATGATTGTTGGTGCCTTCCAACTCAGAATATTTTATGATTCTTTGTGTTTGAATGTCATCTACAATAGTATAAAGCATCTGGTTTTTCTGCAAGTAGTTTTCTCTTGCTGTAACATAAAGAGTCTGTTAGAGGGTATTGGTTTTAGGCCTTTCGTTTCTGTAGACTTCAGTACATATGCTGAAAGGAAAACTGGGGTTTTTTTCACATTAGACTTAGTACCATTTGTATATCTCTATTTAAAATTGTCACCTAAATGCATTGTTTCCTTAGTGCAAGGAAAAAAAATGCACAGTACTGCTTTCATTATTCTTTCAGGCTGCATTGTATTTATGTGAACTTGTCAGGTACTGTAATTAATTAAGGGAAATTCCTGCTGGCCCAGTAGCAGCTTTGCAGTCCAGATATTTCAGCTTTAATATCCTCTGCGGCTGATAGGGAGGCATTGTCCTGAGCAAAACCTTCACAAGGTGCTCAGAGCCTGAGGGCTTGGGTTCACTGCAGCTCATGAGAAGACAAGGGTGGCTTTTGGGAAGTATTTGTCTGTAGGGTTTCATTTTAAGGCCACAGCAGCAGTCCTGCCTCTGTAGCTGTCCTGCTTCTCCAGAGTTCATTATTGAATCATACCAGAAGAAATGTAGTATCAAACCAGAATTGTTAATTTTGTGAAATTATCCAGTAACTCAGATAATGATCACTATATTCCCTTCTGATCCTAACCTCACTGCCCTCTCTTACACTGTCATAGAGCCTGTGATGCATATAAATCAGCAGCTTTGCACTGCAGAAAAGAAGTGGGAAGAATCACTATAGTCTGTGTCCAGCAACAGAAATCAAATATTTCAATGCTTGAAAAAAAGGACTTCCTCTAGAACTGAAGGCGTATCAATGGCAAGAGTAAACAAGGCTTGCAGAGGGAGGATATCTATGTCCAGACATAAGTTCTATGAAACAAAAATGACAACCACCTTCTCTTTTCCTTTGAAGCTCCTAATGAAAGCAGACTAGAGAGCATTCATTTGAGAGGCATTTTGTTTCACATGTCATTTAGTAAAGTGCTATGTGTGAATGTCAGCAGTCCTCAGATTTATTCAAAGAATGCTAGTTTTTATGTGTATATACAGACTCTCCCTGCTGTACGTTTGAAAACATGGCCCTCCTTCTCTACACTCCATGTTTGAAATCAGGATTTGAATAGTCTTTTTCATAGACAGTTTTTGGCATCTTGATAGAGGATTTAAAGAGATCACATCTGAAGTCTCTCAGAAAAGGAATTTGATTTTATTTTAATGAGAAAGGAAAATATCTCCTAGAAATTACCATGGAACATAATTTTTAGTTTCTTGATAAGTTCGATCTTGCTTCCACCATAATGAAGTTATTAATGAGAGTGGCACTCATTTCAGTCTTCCATTATGACATTTGATGCTATCTCAAAGTTCATGTCTCATTTTGTAACAGTTTAGTATATGACTGAATAATACCCTGCAACTGCAAAGCAAAATGTTCTGCCACTCTACTAAACCATGTTTTAAGAACAACTAAATAAGGCCTAGGGATGTAGAATGTTCATTTGTAGAAAGTACAGGCAGGGACAATTCTTTAGCTCAATACTCTATAATAAATACCTGGTCTGACATGTAGACATTGATAGTATCTTTTTTTTTTTTTTTTCCCCAAGATGTTAGCCCACAGACCAAAACCAACAAAAACAAATACCACAAATAAACTTTCAGGAAAACAGAAGATTTGTGGACAAAAGCTCCACTTTTAAATCTGAGTAACCCAGATTTTTCAGGGTGCAACATCAAAGTAGTAAACTAGAAGGAGCCTATTGCCCATGGGAAACTTTATCTTTGAGCAAGGCTACTTAAGCTTAGGTAAGGCTGGAGAGTCTTGGGTTTGTGCATGTCCACCGCAAGAACAAATGTCAGCAGCTGAGACAATATTTAGGCAAGAATTACTAGACAAGTTTCCTTTAAAGTCTTGAAAAACAATACAGCTTTCATGTGCATCCCACGGCTTTACTTCCTAGCACATGGGAATATTTAAAAACCTGTGTGATGCCTGCCTACACCACTGGGTATTTGAAATACCTATGTGAATTTCATTTAGCTGTTTCTGAACATGGAATTTCAAAATCTGCCTACTATTGCAGTTACATTATGGCACCTTGTGTGTCGCATCCCACAGATTTAGTCATCCAGCCCCTAAAAATATGCACAAGCTTGCAGAAACTACATAAGATGCTTTGAGTTGTTTGTAGTTAGCTGTCCCCTCACAGTTAATCTCTGTAGAACCTCAAACTTGTTTGCTAGGGAGGGAAGTGCCAAGTCCCATCAGAACTGGGAATGACTGATGCTCTGTTCTCCAGGCTTGGCATAGCAGCGAGAACTGAGTATTGGGTGTCCCTGCTTCATTGCTGGGTAATGAGCAAGACAGAGACCACAGAGGACAATCTATAACTCAGCTGGACTTCAGGAGACAAATACTGCATTAAGCAGATGTTAAGCTTGATTTATTATTATTGGTGATGGTGTTACTACAACTGTTATTATTTCAATGCCAGCAACTTATATAATGGTTAAAGGTAGGTCTTAGAAAAAATGTTAGATGTTTTAGTAGTCCTCCAATGACAAATATACCCATGGGACAAATGAGCAATTCAGTCTTTGTTTCATCTGTTCAGTCTTGGCCTCCCTGGCAAGACTGGCAAGGTAAGTGGTCTGCTGTGGAGAGGTCAAAGCTTTTTCCACAGGCTACTCAACTGCAAGCATTTATTTCTTAGCTGTTAAAACCAGTAGTACTGACACTAAAAATGTCCTTCCTATCAAGAAGGGCAACATTACTAGGTTTTGTGGTAGACATTTTAATACTGACTAGCTCTTGTAAGGTCCTATAAGTAGCCAGATAATCCACTGCAGTAAAGGCATCCTCCACGTAATTTCTTCTGCCACATTTTGATTTCCAAATCTGTAGATGCCCAGCTTGCTGCCAAAGACCAAATCTCTTTCCCATCTTGATCAAAAAAAACACCCAGAAGAGCACTATGCGCATTCTACAAACCGGCAGGTTATTGATTACATTTGCTATCCAAAATGTCTGGCTTCATTCCCCAGCCCTCATCAGTGCCTTGTTTTTAGTCCAAGTTGTTAACAGATTGCTTATTCATCAGTTGCTGCCTCTCCAGTTTGTAGGTTGTGTCTAAGTAGATTTCCCTGAAAACTAAAAAAACACCCCTTATTTTTGAGCACAACCACCAATTTCTGTCGTCTCTGCTAGGTCAACAAGATGACCAAAAGAAGACCCTGATTTTGCCATTTGGATTCACAGGCACTAAAATTTCTTTAGTCAACTTAGCGAAGTTGAAATAACATGGGATCCTGAAGCACATACAAACTTTTCTATGTTTGGATAGTGAGAAAGTCATATAAAAGCTGCTTTTTTCCTTCATGGCTTCAAAAGTGTTTCGGTCAGGACTTCTACTCTTGAAAATACTTACTTGTTGGTAGTTTACAATACTGTCCATTGGACTCGTGAAGGAACATCTTTAGTCTGGCTTATTTCCAATTTCTTGAGCTTCACATAATGCTCAAAGTTTAAATCTAGAAAATGAAAAAAAAAAAAAACCAGTTTCTTGCCAATTTGTCACCAAGTCAGGTCTTCATGAGGCAAATTCACAGTCCCACTGCTGACAGGAGTTCATCAAGACAATGAGTATCCATGCATCTCTCATCGCTCCTAATTGTCACCAAGAGTGACCAGCCTTGCTGGTGGGAGTAAGATTTGTATAAAAGCTACCTCATTTCATTCTCCCACACAACAACTGCTTATTTCTGTGAGTGTCTCTTGCTCCCCTGCTCCCAGGGACATGTGCTGTCTTCCTATTTGAAGTAAAGCACATAAAAAGTGACTCATTGTAGGAATGTGTTTTCTAAATTATTCAGCTTTGAAGGATATTTTGCACAAGCCTAGCTTATTGATTTAAATGATTATTGATTGCATCTTTTTCTTTTTAGTCTACAACTAGGAGCCCCACAGATAAGGAACAGATGCCTAATTACCCAAGGTAAGAGCAGGTGTGTGCATGTGGGTGTGCACACACACACGGAAACAAACACTAGTTGAAGTACTTTCCATCAGAGTGCATTTGTGTAACAGGAGGATGGAAGTTCATCTGAGACACAGGCTCTGCTTTTGCAAGATAAACCATTAACATCACACAGTCTGGTTTGTACTAGAGATTCTTTTTTATCAGCTATCAACCTATTCTTGTTTAGTGCAGGGCAGATTAGGAAGCAGTGAGGCACTGAGCTCACCTGTGGGTGCAGCTGAAGACAGTTCCTGCCAGTTATTGCCACTAAGGCAGGGTATGCAACTAAAAGCTGTATCAAAATCAAGTCCTACATCCTGATTTCACAAGCAGTATCAAACATATTGAATAAACTTGAAAACTATAGATACAATGATGTGTTCAGACTAAACACAAGACCAATGGTCATTTCAGTGCTGGGAAGCTTAGAGGTGATGATGCTGTCTCCATAAACAGTAGAATTTTCCAATGGTTGTGCTAATGAGTTTCTTGGGTTTGGGGCATCTAATGACCTCTGTAATAGTTGGGGGGTTTAATTATTACTATCTGCTACCTGTGTGCTTCCATTTGTATCTCATTATATTACTATTATATTAACATATTTTAATAGCATTCATATTTTTTGTTATTATTATGTAATATTATTAATATTATGAAGTAATATTAGTTCACAGTAGCAAACTGATGCAATTTATTCCTGAAGACAACTGAATTTTTAAAGGCTTTGTTAGCTAAGTTACTGTGATTCAATCTGCCTCTCCAACTTTCCCAAGTGAGGGGAGTGCAGTGTGGTGCTGTTGTTATTTTTTTGAACTGAAGCATGGATTATCTTCAGTGGGGTCTTCTACCACCTGGCTCTCATGTAAAGGAGAGGGAAGTTGCTTCTTGCAAGAATTGTGTGTCCATGTCTCATTTCTGGAGCCAGCTGCTCACCTGCTCACTGCAGTGCAGTGTCCACACTACCATGAAAAAATAGGTACCTCTTCTGCTGCTGCTTATCCTCTGAATCACTTCTTCACCTCCTCCTCTTCAAAAGTTCTCATAAGAACAAAAAAAAAAAAAAAAAAAAAAAAAAAAAAAAAAAAAAAAAAGTCTTATGACCTGAGCTGAAAATGAGAAATTACTGCTCTTTCTTCAAGAGGCAGCGTAACTCCTACATGGGCATTCCTAACAAGCTGTTTCCTTGAGTGGAGATGAAGTCACCTACACTTAATGAGTAAAAAAGCTTTGAATTTTACAGGCTTGGAGGCCGGAGAAAACTATTACAAAAAACTGGGTAAAATCAGAGATGCTTATAAATTTCACATTGCTAAAGTGAGATGAATCATGCAAGAGGAGAGGGGAATTACCCCTGGGATCAGAATAGGTGATTTCTGATACTTTAAGAAAATAATTATGTGGGAGAGAGGTGAAGCAGATGTAGGAGAACTTGCAAATACAATTCATCCAGAACATTCAATAAATTCTGTTTGTGAATTATCCTCATCAAACTGCAAGGTTCTCCTCCTCTGCAAACTATGGCCTCTCCATAGTTTTCTTGCTGTTTTCTGTCTTCAGATTGATTCAAAGAAACCACTTCTTTTTGAAAGACTAATTTCAGGGAGATTTTTGAATGTTTGACTGTTACAAAAAAATTGCAGATAAACATTCAAGACCTGCCTTTCTATTGCTCATGTTTTAACTCTCCAGACAGTTGAGTTTTCAACTCCAATGCAAAGTTCTTAGCTAACTTAGCTAAGAATCACATTTTCCTTACACAAGGTGGGAGGAGGATAAGGGAATTGATATTCAGCTGGGGGACCTGAAGGAACAGAATGGTTTTGATTCTCTCATACTCATTTCAATAAATACACTTGGTCTTATTCTAAACAAAGCTGACCTTTTGAATAACCGGCATTTTTCATCATTACCTGCAGTGTGACTCTCCAGCAAACTGCACATCAGATTCCTCCTCTTGACATCCCACACATGTTCCAGCTGTGCCCTGCCAGCCTCAGGCTCCAGCCCATCCTGTTGTGACACCGCCATGGGATCCTTGCTGCACTTCCAGTGCCTCGGATCCTCTTGCCAGGGCCTGCTCTGGAAGAAGACCAATATCACTAAAGCAGATTAATAAGGTTTCTTGTAAAGTCATCACTGAATTTTACACCTTTTTCTTTGCTTTTTCTTCTTCCAAGATGACAGCTGACAATTTATATAAAGATGTATTGCGTGCTTTGGTTAATAATTTTTGAAGTCATTTCAGTTTTTCCATTGTGCTTGATAAGTTGTTTAAGAGTAGATTTTATGCACAAAAGAGGAAAATTGTAAAAGCCTATAAAGATTATTAAGTGAAAGTAAATAAAATCTAGCTTTTACTTTTTGTTGAAACATTTTTATACTAACTCTGTGTAAAAATTTGTCTTTCCTAAGAGTAACTATATTTAATCACCAGTTTAAATAACTGTACTCACATTAAAGCTAATCTCTTAAGCCAAACTATGTAAACCAGTACTAATTATCTACTAATGCATTAAAGTGATTCCAAGAATTTGGTTTACAAGGAAATTGTGTTTTGTTTAGTAAGTTGACTAAGGTAATTTATATCCAGAACAAAACCAAATTGCTTTCTATTGCATTAACATAGCAACAGTAAAGGAATAAATATGGTTAATGGGTATAATGGTCTGCATTCCCATAGTATTATTCTACAAAATTTATGTGAGCATGTGATGATACAAGAGTATGCAAGATGATTCACTCTATTTCATGCACAAAAACAAGAAAAAAAATCTCCTTAATATAAATACATTTTCCTCCTGAACCATATTTTAAAGTGACACCCAAATTTGGAAGAGGAGAGTGGATTTGAAGTTCAAACCCTCAAGGCTCCTATTATTGTTCCAATCCCAATAAATTATTGTGCCAAGTGAACTATTAGGAATAAAAATAAGCCAAAAAGCCAGTGTCATTTTAAAATAATGACAGAATCTCAAAAGCATATAGATTTAGACTAATTAAAAGTTTGTTTTCTATTTTAAAAGGGTTGATTAAACATTTTCAGTAAATTATCCGTTCTCTGGGGAAAACCTGCATTTCTATTAGAAATATTCCCAACAAATACTGCAGATGTATTGCTGTGAAGTCATAAATATTAAGTGAGTGCTTGTTAGTGTGGCAACATAGCTTTGTGTACCATACAAAGCTATCTGAACCACAGCAAAAGCCCTGAAAAGTGCAATGTATTCCAGAGCTGGAAATGCAGTAAGTGTCTGTGAGCTGAGGGCCATGAAGCTCTCAGGCATTATAGGGGAGAGGCTGGGATGTTCTAAGACTTACCTGGCTACATGGAAATGGGAGTGGGGAGAATTATTTGGAAATCTAAATGAATATAGGCTGTTATTTCCCTCTTAAGAGGGCCTTCTTTCTCTCCTCAATAATACTTATATATATATATATATAATATATAGTATTTGTTTTCTTACAAACCTAGTTAATCAGTGTATCCTCTGGCAAGCATTCCTGAGTTGACAACATGTAGAATACAAAAAAATGAAAAGGCTCTTCGTATTGGTACCTGCTGTCTTTTCTGCCATTTGTTGCTTGTTTCTGTAACAGAGGAGATGAAGGGGCCTTTCCTGGGAAGGAATCAGTCCTCCCAAACCTCCAGGCAGGATCTGGATGCTCTCTGTGCTACCAAGGGAGAGGCTGTGGCCCAGTGGCTCCTGTGCTCCCGTGAGAGGGCACCTGGGCAATGCAGAGAGTTGGGGTCCATGGTAAAAAACTACAAAACTGGAAATTTGCAAAAATAAAGCACAGGCGGTTCCATCAAGGAAACAGTATGGTTTTTCCTGGGGAAAAAGCAAGTGTAACAATACAGCAACACTGCCAAACACACAAAACAGAAGGTAGAAGGACATAGAAGTTCACTCTGTGTGCATATGTGTATTTGCATCTCCAATGTGACATTCCACAGTTTCTAGCCCAGGAGAATTTAGGATTACCCATAGCAAAGCAACTCCTGTTCTCTGCTTCTGCTGCTTCATCCAAGCCCTGCTCTAGGCATCCCAAGTAGGGCAGCACCAGCATTACAGGTTTGGGCAGCCCTGCTTTACAAAAAGCAAGAGTATTTTCAGCTCTACTACGGAGTGCACTGCAGTCTCAGAAGGATGCAAGACACAGGGAAGACATACAGTTGTGACTTTAAGGAAGAACTACTTCTGCTGCACCACGGATTTGCTTGGTTCATCACTCTAGTCTCCTCTGACTCTTGATATAATGTAGAACTTCAAAAATCCAAACCAAACAAATTGCACCCCACCAAAGCCCATATCAACTCTTGCCAGTCTACAAAATCTTCATGAAAAACTGTGTGTCATCCGTAAAAATGCGATTTCTATGGTACTAAATTCCACAATGGCTAAGCAACAAGTTGAAAACAGGGCTTTTGTTCATTTGGGTTTTGTTTATACACACAGATTTCCCACCCACCCATACTTTGAGGCAGCCAGCCAAGACCCAGAGGAGAAATGAAGGGATGGATTCCTTTTTTTTTCTTCTCCAAAGGGAATTTCTTCATCTCAGCATAATTATGTTCAAGCTACAAGTAAAATCATTATACTTCTGCAAAAAAAATTAGCATCTGTTCCCCACCCCTCTCATATTCAATATTCAGTTTGTTTTCTTCTGCAGGATTTCCATACATTTCCTCAAGGTGTGCCACTGAACTTCAGACGTGTTTCTAAACAGACGTTCCAACACAAAAAGTCCTGAAGTTTTGCTAACCAATGTGCTTCACTAACAGGGAACATCAGCAACTGCCTGTTAGGCAGTGCATGAATGATTAAGTAAATCATAGGAGCCTGAGAGCCTAACTGAGGCAAGATCCCTGTTGTAGGTGCTCTAAAATATTAGTTTCATTTATAAAATATCAGTTTCATTTAATTTTTAAGCTAGAGGAGTCAGTAGCCAACCCATCAGCAATGACACCAGCTGGCAACATGTATTCTATTAAATTTGAACCAATAACTCATTGAAAAAGAAATCCTTTTAACACAGTGACATCCAAGAGAAAGGAAAACAATGCAGAGAGATCCGCAGTGACTGCAGTTATCAGCAAGTTTGATCTGCCGGGAGCCACATTACAGGAGAGGTTTCAGTGAGTCAGCAGTGCTCAAAGACTGCCCTCTTTTGCTGGGGTAACTCTCCTTCTGGATGTAACCTGTCATCCATGGGGGGTGGCATGGCCTTGCTGGATGTTCACCCTATAAAAAATACTCATAGCATTTCAACATCAGCGTAACATGCAGCAGACAGAATAAATAATCTAGTCCTACCTTCATTTTACTAAAGAAGCTATAATCTGTGCAGGAATGTAAACAGTGCTGAAGATGAATTTCAGTCTTCACAGGAAACATCTACTGCGAGAAGAGCAAGAGCAAAATGACAAGAGTTGTCCTGACAGTGCTCGAGGGGGTGTGAATAACAAAGAGGAGGCAGAGCCATGGAGACTGACTGCTCATCCCCTTCATTTACTGTAAGCAGCTTTCTTCCTGACAAACTTCAGAGTCATAATTCAGTAATGCTGGAGTGAGTCATGCCAGAAATAGGCCCCAAGACAAGCCATCAACAAGCAAGGTGGAGGGGCGTACTCAGCCACTCTAGACACGCTGGGACACAGTAGCTGAAATTAAGAACTGCATCAAGAGAGCAGGAAAGAGTTTAATGGAGGCAGAAAGTGGTCCCAGGGAAGCAGCAGTCAGTTTATGCCAGACTCCTAGTACAAGAAATCAGAAGATGTGTACCAGCAGCACTGTCAATTCTCAACAGTAATTTCAAAGGCTTGGATCAGCCTCTTCTTGCAGGGGAAAAAAAAAAAAAAAAAAAAAAAAACCAGGAATAAAGCACTCAGGTCTCAGCTCAGTTCTGCAAAGACCTTCCATACACACAGAGAGTAGGGGTCCCACAGAGGTGAAGGATCCATTGAGGCTGCCCAACACTGTAAAAAATACACACATAAGTTACAATTGTTTGCAGATGCAAGTGACATACTATACTAAAATGTTCTCCAGAAAAAGCTTACTGTTACCATCCATACAGAGAATGCACCTAGTCTGTTTTAAAAATACGAAAAGCAGCATTTTTAATCAGTCAGAATTAAAGTTCATCAATTGTAATGCTAAAATACCTCATTATGAATCAGTGTTCTCAATCCTGGCAGAAGACAGGCCGAAGGATTTCACCCCAGGCCACTAACCTAGGAGGCTTGGTTGGGTTACAGCAACTCTTCAGAAAGTAACTAGGGATCCACTGCACTTCAATTATCTGAAGGACTTTTTCCTAGTGTGGATTTGGGTAATTCAGTCACCTCGTCTGGCGCTTGCAGTAACTTCCTTTGCTAGATTAAGTGCTGTTATCAGAAGTCCTTTCATACAAAGGTATTTATAGATAAAGAAGAAAAACCCCCAAACTTAAATGGAGATCACAAAGCAGACTTGTTAAACTTTGCTGTCATTTTTGAGCTTATCATAAGCAGTTCTACCTGCAAGGTATGGGCTGGCACAGGCCTTTGCTGTTTATTACACCACAGGAACACCCACGTGGCCTCAGGCTGGAGATGAGGATCCCACAGACATAATATAAATTATATACAGCTTGGATTTCAGTCACACTCAGAAAATGAGTCCGGCACCACAAGGTAGCAGTAAGTAATTGAACATACAGCATGCCTCTCATTTTTCCATGTTAGTAGGTTTATCTGTCCTTTTCCACCCAAATCTGATCTCTGACTAGGCATCAAACTCTAGACAAAAATCTAGACATCAAATCCTAGACAAGCAAATGCCAGCAGCTGCCAGCAGCCAAACACAGCCCACATCAGCTGCCATTCTCCCAAGTTATAGTTCTGGCTCACAGCACACAAGGAAGTATGGACAGACACAAAGCAGATGGACAGTGGGAAAGGGTTAGGCAAGGGGTAAATTACACCATTACCACAAAGGGAAGCCTTCATTTAAATTAAAACTTCATCACAGACAATACAGTCAAGATCTTACATTACTTTTCTATTTTAGAGTGGATTCAGTGCATCTATAACCACAGGAAGCAACAAATAAACTTCCCGATGCTGTCTCTGCTGATCAATTACCTTTGGAGCCAAGCAATCTTCACTTGAAAAAAAAAAAAAAAAAAAAAAGGAAAAAATTCTAAAAAGCTTTTTTCCAGCCCTAACACACTAAAAACCTTGGGGTTAATATTATTACACAATGGCACATAGGTACCATGAACTGCAGTGCATATTTTATCTTGCTCAATTTCCACTGCCTTCTTGTTCAAGTTTCAATCTCACTTAATGGATCAGGCCCAGCAATGATACAAATGCTCTGGTAAGGAAGAGTGACTGAAAAGTGATGAGACCAAAACAAGTGAGAAAATTCTACTCAGCTCTACAGAGGATTCTTCTCTTCTTAATCCATCAAATGAGTTTTAAGTTGCATTTATGACATACCTGACTCGCCTTAGTTTATTGAGAAGAGGCTGAAATTACTTTAACTCCTGTGGGAAAAGACTGAAGTGTTTTTATCTCTCAGTATCAGACACCTGTGGTAATTCCAGAAACAAGAAAAGGAAAGAAGTGGTGGCATTCCTCTGCTCTGATAATTTCATTGCCTTTTGAGCACT